TGTGAATTTTAGTTTTTTCTTTCTTTCTTTTTCTTGTGGCAGAGGACAGCTCTAATATTTCATAGATAGAAACAGCTGTTGACATAAGGAATCAGAAATAGGGAAGGAGGGAATGGAAGGTTTATGAAAAGTTCTGGTCGAGAAGAATATGTTTTTGTTTTTGTTGTTCTTATTAGCTGCTGTCAATTGAACTTTGATTTATGGTCACTCTCTTAATTAGTGACCTCCAGGAGCCTGGGCCACCAGTTGACTTGCTCAAGTCCTACAAAGTCAAGGCTGTAGCTCGCTTAACTGAATCAATCCTCCTGTAGCACAGTACCCCCTTTTCCCTACTGCTTTCCACTTTACTGGGCATTATGAATGTGTACAGTGCAAAAGAAACAAAAAAGAAAACCAATAAAGAAATATAGAAAACAGAAGAGGGCTGAAAATGAAGATAAGATAACTTACAATGCATGATGCATCATAAGAAATGGGGTACAAATTGAGTCTCCTTTATCCAAAATATTTAAAAAACCAAAACTTTTTTATGGGTGGCTGAGAAAGTGAGACATTTGTTTTCTCATGATTCAGTGTACACAAATTTTGTTTCATTCAAAAAATATTTTAAAATATTGTATTAAGTTACCTTCAAGCTATCACCCTTATCACACAAGTAAACAAAACAGAAATGGAGCTATAGCACTTCAGTTCTCTTACTGCAGGAGGCATAATCAAAGTGAGTCATTTTTTCTAACTGGAAAAATCAATTTGACAAAAGACTTGCTTTGATGACTGTCTCCTATGGGAAGAGAACTGATGCACCATGAGATTGTGCAGCATGGCATGGAAAAAGCCATTATTCTTTGGCTCAATTTTGGCTTTGTTTGCTCATGCAATAAGGCTCCATGTGCATAAGGTATATATTAAACATAAATGAATTTTGTATTGAGACTTGGGTCCCATCTCCAAGATTTGGAATACAGGTATTCCAAAATCTCAAACACCTTCGGTCTGAAGTATTTTGGATAAGGGAGACTCAGCTGGTATTTGTCTAATATAGAATGGAAAGGTAATTGGGGGAAAAAGAAGAGAAAAATCTGGATAAAATTAGAGAAAGCAAACTAATGGGGGGAAATGAGTGAAGATATGTGCAGATCTAAAAGGTTTGTATGAAGAAGATAAAAATAGACCAATTTTAAGTATAAACTACATCCAACAACTATAAAAGTGCTTCTCAAATATCTTTTTAAACCTTTGGCTATTGCATTAGTTTGATTAATTGTAACAACAGTTGGGCTCTTACTGGGTACTGTTTCCTCTTTTGGCTTACAGGAGCAGGAAGCTCTAAACAACAAAGCTCCCTCTTTTTTTATTCTACTTAAGGAATTCAATGGAAAAGGGAATTTCCATTTGTAAGCTAAAATAGTGTCCACTATCTTCATCCAGAAATCTCCTGTGTTTATAGTCCTTATAGCAGCTATGGGCAAAGGATGAGTATGCAGATATTTTTGGACTGCAACTGTCATTAACACTAGCCAGCATAGCCAATGAGGAACATTGGGAGCTGCAATCCAACTATTTTGGAGGGCTGCATTTTCCCCACCCCTTCTGTAACAGCATAAGTGGTATGCACTCTTGAATACAATCACACCTCAACACTGTGCTTTCATGGAAATAAAAAAAAAATCCACACAGGAGGTTAGGGTTTCCAGAGTCTTGTGAAGCCTAGAATTACATATTTCAGTGTTTTACAATACCAATATGAATAAGGATGACAAGGGATCAAATTAATATTTGATACTATTCCATTCCCTGTAGGAAAAAAAAATGAGTTTCCTGATGCTTGGGGGGAAAACTGATGATGGGGGGAGAGATAACAGAGCAATGGCAAAGTATCTTCACAACTTGTATGGAATTCTTTCAAGGAATTATTGTACACAAAAATACATGTGGCTTTTCGGGGGGGATTTTTGCCTAAAATTTTGTGTTTTGCACAGAACAAGTGCTTCTTACACACAATATTTGTGTGTGTGTGTGTGTGTGTGTGTGTGTGTGTGCAGAAAAAACACATCTAATTCTGTTCAAAATATTTCCACAAAAGACTTCTCGAAATGTGATACCACACAGCGATCTCTGTATTCTCTCACAGTTGGCATAATAGTATAGAGACTAGTGGTACTTGCACTCAAGAATGAACAATGCAAAGATTTGCATCCATAGTTATTTGGCCAGTCTGCAAATAAGTTTGCCCCAAGTGATGGTTACTGATACAGATACAGACTGGCCTGTTGTAAGTGTTGGACTATTGGCTTTAATTCATTGTAATAGTTATTCATCTGTTTTGTATAGTAAATACATATATCAAGCCAGTTTGAAGCACTAAAATGACTAAAGGAGGCTTCATTATGATGGAAATTACTTGGCTGATTGCCTGATACCAGAGTTTTAAATATTGCTTCCCATTAATTTAAGGAGATTTAGAATGCAGGGGAAAATGTTTCTGGCATTCTAAATATAATGTTGAGACATATATGCTGTATCAAGTAGCTTTTATATTTTATGTTGCAGAATTATAGACAGAACCACATATTATAATGGTGTTACATTCAAATTTGATAATTGGAGAGAGATACAAAAACTATGCCTTTGAAATTTTAAGTTATCCAACATAGTCGATGTGTTTGACTTTCTACTATCCCTTGTACTATCCTATCAACTTCATTTAATGAAAATATGTTTTTACTTTTAAATATCATCTGAAAATAACAGAGTCTTGAGCAGCTAGTAACTATAAGGTCATAAAATAAATGTGTCATAATGTTGCATTTGTCGACTTATTGTCTTCTTGCATTCACTGCCTTTTATGGATTTTGAAACAATGGTTCTTCACTGTAACACTTTAAAAGGCAGTGCACTCCCTGGAGATAGTAACACTCATTTGAAAGAGGATGAAAATAAGTTATCAGATAACATCATCAACAGAGCATGTAAAACAAAGACAGTCATGATCTGTGGCACTCTAAGAACACAGTTTGCATACAGAATCCAGGCAAGATATGCAATGGCTAATCTACAAATGGCAAAGGAGTACAAGCCTAGTGGGAAGGCAATTGCCAAGAATATTGCTGGGCATTCAACTGTGCAGATGGGAAACTACAAATTATTTTTTTCCACAGGTAAACTAACAGCTACTAGAGGGAAATATTCAAATGCATGCCACATGAAATTTCATACATCAAACACAAAGATACAGTTTATTTTCTCATACAGGGTTTGATATAAGCAAATTTTTGGAACATGTGAAGCAGCCCTGAATTTTCACCTTAACAGCATTCCTTCCCATGCATTTGATTGTTCTTTTCTTACCTGAAATATTTCAGGTTATGAAATACAGAAGTGTGAAAAATAGAATGATATTCATTAAGCAACCAGTTTCTTTGATTTTGATTGTTTGAATAGCTCACAACAGCAAACAATGCATTTATGAATATAGCATGATTTTCATGACTTTTTAAAAGTCACTAAGCTTTAAGACATATCTGCTTTTAGGGCAGCTGTTAGCCATCACAAGTCAATATCAGCTGTCTATTTTACAGATCTGTATACAAAAATATTAATGTGCTGTCGCATGCAACTTGGTGCTGTTTGTAACCATTTGTGGATTGGTATTAATCAAACAGAAATAAAACAGAAAAAAAGTACAGGCCTGGCTCGAAATTTGAAAGAGCTTTGGGTGATGTGTCTTCTGGAATAGACCCTTCTTCCACCAGTAGTCAGCTGTTGCTTTTTTGGGGCATCTTCAAATTAATTCAAGCTTATGTTGACCTTATCATAGGGTTTTCTTGGCTTGATTTATTCAGAGGAGGTTTTCATTGCCTTTGTCTGAGGCTGTATGACTTGTCTCAAGGCCACCTAGTGGGTTTCCATAGCTGAGCAAGGATTCAAACTAGAGTCCTGTTCCAATACTCAAATTACTAATGGAAGGCAAAAGTACTCTGAGTAGCACTGGGAAGCTGGTGGTAGGGGAACTGTGAGAAATTAAAATAACTGATTACAAAGAACCTGATCAGACAATTCCAGATTTTGTAGGTCCTCAGCCTTAGGAGCTGTCCATTGATGTTGGGCAATAAGACTGACTCTTTTAGGGCATCTTACTCCAACTTGAAAATCAAACACAATAAACACTGTTGCTACTAAATGACAGCTTTCATTGAGTTTTCACAGCTTTCATTGATAGTTAGATCAATGAGGCAGTAGTAATACAATCACCAACTCACTAGTTGTGCATCAGTGAGGATTCCCAACCAATCATTCACTCTGCATAAGTCATAGCTGGTGTAGGAAGGAAGGTTTCAGCTGTTATCTGACCTAATTTTCCCTAGAATCTGCATCAATTAATATGAATCTGTGCCACAAGATTTGGGGTCATTGCACTTGGTGCAATATTTTAGTATTTTCAATGGTAAATTTGCTTCTTGGTTCAAATAAATTTAAAGTGCAAACTTAATACACATCCAATCAAAAGCACTGAGGTCAATAGCTCATGCTCCAAGGGAAGTGGGTATAGGATTAGTGATATTGCTCAACTTCAGAATTTCAGTGTGAGTTACAAATGTAAATATATCAAAATGATGATGCAAGTGCTGCAATAAATAGCAGCAACAACAAATCTTCTGCTAAGTATGTCATTGGAAAAACAACTTTCTCTAAGATTTCATTAATCAGTTCCAATTGAACTGGCTAGTCAAGGCCTGAAGCTCATAGATGATTTGTTTCTGTGTTTTCGTAAACTATTTTTGTGATGGCATCCATTAGAAAATATTGTTCCCATGTGATTAGTTGCCTAGCAATGCCATGAACAGCAGATAGAAGTCTACTCTAAAATAAGCCAGTGTGTCAGCTGCATATTACTTCTTTACAACTGTTGTCCTCTTACACATTTGCTAAGGTAAAGTATATTACCTTTGCTGAGGTCTGTGCAATCCTATACGCATTTACTTGAAAGTAAAATTTACAGAGTCAGTGTGATGTAGTGGTTTGAGCATCAGACTATGACTCTGAAGACCAGGGTTCAAACTCCTGCTCAACCATAAAAACACACTGAGTGACCTTTGGCAAGTCACACATTCTTAGCCTCCAAAGACAAAGGCAAACCCCCTCTGAATAAATCTTGCTAAGAAAACTTTGTAATTAGGTTGCCATAAGTCAGAAAGAAGTTGAAGGCATATAACAGCAACAGGACTCACTGTATTCAATAGCGCTGACTCCTTCTTGTGTTCCAGACTACAGCCTTAAACTGTAATTCTGTGCACTTTCATCTAAGGCTAAACTGCATTTAAATCAGTGAGACTTAATTTTAAGTCAACATAATATTTTTCAGCATAGTATTTTTCAATAGAGCCCTCTTGTAGCATTTCTAAAGCATTTTGACTCAACATACAAGGAGAGAAGCATGCCAGTGCCTCCCCTTCCATACATTCTGTACAGGTAGAATTCAGAGACACAGCCATGTTAGTCTGGAATATTAGTATGCTAAGGCAAGTTGTAGCACCTTTGAGACTGTGGCCTGACATTCAGGGCCAAATAAGGCATTTTCTGGCCACTTTGGGGGTGTGGTGTTCAAATGACACATGCCCCCAAAGTGGCCAGAAGCCACTCCAGCACAGCGATCCTGTCCTTTGAACCAGATCAAAAAGGAGTGAATTAAATCTGACTCCTGGTGGTGCCAGCTTGAGCCCACAGCAGCTGCCCGCTTTGGCAGTGGGCTGTACAGGTGCCATGGTCCCAGCCTGATCACAGCCAGATGAGCTTCTTCTGGACTGTGTGCTTTGGCCCTGTGCAAAAGAAGTTGTAGCATAATCTTTCATAGACCTGGTCTACTTCCTCAAATGTATGGAACCATGCTTCTGGGGAAGAAGATTCAGGTCCTGTCTGCATTGACCAGGATACTCCAGGAGCAGCCTCCATTCTGACACCTGGTGATTGTTCATACTTGTTGTCCTGCTGAGCTGTGTGATGCATTGCTGCGTGCCTTGTTCTAACCTCAGAGCAAAAGACTGACAGTGGCAGCAGTGGGAATAATATGGAAAACCTCCATACATAGCAGAGTTCTCCTCACCAGATTCATCTCTATTCATGTGAGAATAATGGGACTAATGAGGGATGAGAGGGTCTAATGCACAAGCCCTTGCCCATGTTATGGGCCAACCTACTCTAAATAGTGCCTGAATGAGGTTTAGATATTTTAGCTTGACATGGTTTAAGGCCAATGTTTGTTTCGAACACCTTTCTCTCAAGATGGGAATCAATATCATTTTTCCAAAAGCACAAGTGCATCCTTCACAACTACATAATTATGTGTTGCTGTTGCTTTTTAATGTGGAAGGGGTTTTAAATCTCTTTGCATAAAGGCAGCTCTGAAAATCCATGTTACATTATTGTGATACCATCATAACATAAGAACTAAACACTGGCCTTGTTAGATCTTTAAACCATGTCAAGCTACAGCATCTAAACCTCATTCAGGCACACTGATATATATTACTCCACCTTTCTCTCAAGATGGGATTCAAGTTCATTTTTCCAAAGTGATATATGTAAAAACTCCAGAGATAAGTTTCTGAAGAGAACTTTTGAACTGATAGCTAACCAAAAAGACCTGGGGAAAAAATCACTTACTTGTTAGTTAATATAGCTAAGGGGGGGTTGCAGACTGCCAGAAATAGTGCAAATACTTTTAGGGTTAGGGTTAGGGAATCATGGGAACTGTAGTTTATTGTGGCACCAGAGCTCTCTGACAGAGAAGGCTCAATGCCTCAGAAAAAAAAACAATTCCCATGATTTCCTAGCACTAACCCTAACCCTAAAAGTGGACTCAATTTGCACTATTTCTGGCAGTCTGTAACCCCCCCTAAGTTTGTTATGTTCAACACTGTCAGATTCACTGTGAAAGCAGTTACTCAGATTAGATTTTTAGGATAAAGGCCTGCATGGAAATATGCAATAAATAGATTATACTAATTTGAATGGATTGCATAATATTATGATATATTTAGTATGAATTTTTGTAATTTTAGTGCAAACATTTTGCTTTATATATTATAGAGCCAACTGTGACTGTAAAAGTTTTAAAAGGTTTTAATCATTTTTGTAATTTGATGGCTATAATCTGTATATGGTTGTCATGAATAAACCATGTATATATACGCATCAAGAGTAAGCATTTATTTACTGATTTATTGAGTGCTTTATTTCATTCCTTAAAAGCAACACTTCACTAACAGTTAAACAACAAAATCAAAAGCTTTTGAATTAGGCCACAGAACAACCTAGTGATTTTTCTCAAGAATAATATGTTTATGTCTTTAAAAGGTTAAATGAGGCTACTAGTGTTTCTTTGGTAAATCAAGATATTACGCATACAGAAGGAATGAAGTTGGATTTCTGTATCAATTATATTATCCCAGCTCCAGAAAATGGAACTCCATCTTCTTGTACAAATTAGAAAATCTATCTGCCTGTACAAGTCCTATTCAGTTCTACTTGTACCTCCTCTCAGATATTCACTTCAATTAAGCTTCCACATATGTCTGACCTTTGTGTGTGTGTGTGTGTGTGATTGTGCAGGGATTAATTCATAAATGGTTGGCACTTATATGACAACCATGCTGTGTCATTCAATGCCCAAACTAAATACACCCTACTGTGGATTTATGAAATTTCATTTGGACAATTAATTTGCTACCTAGGCTAACACCATAAACTTATTTCACCTAAATGCATCAGTGGTAACAATGAAAAAGCATTTCATACACAAGAAGAGGAGGAGGAGGAGGAGGAGGAGGAGGCAGCATTCTGCATCCCAAGAAACTAAGGGCCTTTACAGACTGCCAGAAATAGTGCAACTTGAAGCCACTTTAACTGTCCTGGCTCAGGGCTAAGGAATCATTGGAACTGTAGTTTATTGTGGCACCAGAGCTCTCTGACAGAGAAGGCTCAATGACCCAGAAAAAATATAATTCCCATGATTCCCTAGCACTGAGCCAGGACAGTTAAAGTGGCCTCAAGCTTCACTATTTCTGCAGTCTGTAAAGGCCCTAAGACAATTTCTTGGGGCTTGTGTATAAGTAAAGTGCATGGGATTAATGTGCAAATATTAGTGCTGCAGTTACAATCAGGAGTATGTTTTCCCTCTAGGACTGGCTCCAGATGACCAGCCCTTGATGCAACTGTATTTGCAGCCTTTGAATCTGCCATTCTGTCACCACTGGAATATTTGGAATATTTTGTGTGCTGGAACCAAAATAGTTATGGCAGAACAACAGATAGAATGAGGAAACAGTATCTAGCAACACAGGTCAATAGCCAGCAAGCTCACACATTCAACTTTGCTAAGTCACAAAATTGACTAGAATCTCTACATTATTGTACAGCCAAAAAATACAGATTTTTCTTTTAAAAAATCTTTTCCATAGGATTTGATAGATTCATGTTTCCTTAGAAACATCCATGTGACAACTGTTACTCCCTGATCATCAGCCCATTATGAAATTGGAAACTGGCCATTATATCAGTGCAGTGCTGGCTGGGCCCAAAATGTAGCAAGAATAGGATTTATTAAAAGTTTATGGTTTCAAAATTCTATAATCAATAGTAACATTCATTGTTAAAGCTTTTCTGATTCATTTTTGGCTTCTCTAATCCACCCCTTTACATTAGAACGATCCATTGTCTTAATATTATCATAAATCTTTATATAAATTTGCAAATAGACATTGGAAGGCCAGGACCATGAACTGCTCCTTTTTTTTTTTTTACTGAAATAATCCCTTCCCATGAATGTTACCCTGCAAACTGAGACAGGTCTAAAACAGACTGGGATATAATTTGTCTTTCATTAGGTGTTCAAAAAAGCTTAAAAAGTTTTAAAATCTAGGAAATATTATAGGTAGGGCTGCTGTCTAATCTAGTGCTTGAATTACAAAGGAGCTTCTTCTATTAGTGATGATGATAGTGGCCATAGCTATTTTTCAAACAGTATATAGGAGAACAATGATTGAGATAAAATGAGATAGAGGAGATAGCACATGTAAGCTGTAGACATCCTTAGGGGTTTATTCTTCCCCACCATCATAATTCAAGAAGTAGTTAAATTTCTTGCAGTGCAGCTGTAGTCTGGGGAAGGCGTTCTCAAGTTAAAATTTCTTCTAAGCTTAACTTTTAAAAATAAACTATGTATAATATTATAAATGTTTGTGCTTGACATCTGAATATAAGCTTATCAGTATAACTACATAGGGACTATAGTCTGAATGAGGTATTGCAACATAGGAATGTTACTGGAACAAACAGTAATCAAAAAATGGAATTTTTTGCTTTGGTTATATTCTCCACTTCAGAATGTATTTTTCCCCCCATGGTAATCCCACCCCACCCCCACCCCCAAATATTAATTCTAGGCAGAGAGTGAGCAAACATGAGACAGGGATGTATTGCAACAACAGGATCTGACTAATACATATTGATTCCACCCAGAATGCTTTAGCTTTCCATCTCAAAAGACAGAATGTTTTGAAGCTTCCATCTTTATGAGGAGTCACGCAATTTTATGCTTCTTTCTGAGAGGTCACAGCATTTAAATAATTAGTCAGGGCCAAGTTAGAGATTATATTCATCTTCTAATTACCCTTTTCCCATCACCCCAAAAAGTGTTAAATAATGGAAGAAGACATTAACAACGAATAAGGGCACAGGGAAGTCTTGCCCTGGCACCATCTGGCAGGCTCCAGTTGTGCTGAGCCTCTTGCAGGCTGGCCAGTGGGATGTTATGCTTGGACAAGATTTTACAAGGGCATCACCATTGTGGGACGTTGAGATCTGGTGCAATGAAGTCTTGCAGGACTGCTGGGTGAGTTACTGGCATATAAGTGAGTTACTGGCCTATAACTACCAGACCACAGAACAGTTTTTCACCTACTGTCAGAAATGGAAGGGAAACTTTCACTGCCACCAGCCTTCCCTCACTGCAAACTGCAGACACAGGGCAGGAGAGGAATGTTCCAGTTCTATCCTTCATGTCTCATGTGCCTCT